ATTTGAAGGTCCTGGAGTGGCCTAGCCAGTCTCCAGCTCTCAACCCCATAGAAAATCTTTGGAGGGAGTTACTGCATTTAGTGCTTTACTGCTCTAGAGGAGATCTGCATGGAGGAATGGGCCAAAATACCAGCAACAGTGTGTGAAAACCTTGTGAAGACTTACAGAAAACGTTTGACCTCTGTCATTGCCAACAAAGGGTATATAACAAAGTATTGAGATGAAATTTTGTTATTGACCAAATACTTATTTTCCACCATAATTTGCAAATAAATTGTTTAAAAATCCTACAATGTGATTTTCTGGATTTTTTTCCCTCATTTTGTCTCTCATAGTTGAGGTATACCTATGATGAAAATTACAGGCCTCTCTCATCTTTTTAAGTGGGAGAACTTGCACAATTGGTGGCTGACTAAATACTTTTTTTTCCCCACTGTATAATCATGACTGATCATTGTTTACGTTGTCGATCAGTGGTGTCACTACAGGTCCAAACTGTACAGTGGGTCTAGAAAAGAATTACCCCCCTTTAAAGTAATCACATTTTGTTCCTTTGCGGCCTGAAATGAAGACGGATGCCGTTTTTGTTTTATCCAGCTGTATTTACTCAGTGCAACTTATAACATCCAAGTGAAGGATATAACGCCAACATGTCCGAAAAAAATAAATAACTAGAATCACTGAGTTGGAACAAAATGTGTGTTGCAAAGCAACAAAATGTGATTATTTTAAAGGGGGTGATTCTTTTCTATACCCACTGTATGTGAGGCAAGCAGTGTGTCTGAATCCTCACATGGCATTGTAAAGTGTCCATCGAACGAGCCAAAATATTAGGTGTTGATTCAGCAGTGGCCTAGGAACTTATACTGATACCTAAAGCCAGGCCTGGTACTTTTGAAATGCTATAATAACAATTTATATGTACATTTGATGTATATAAAACCTAGTGCTTTACTGTTATAAAAAACTACATTTCCCTACAGTTATGGGTCATGCCTGTGCAGCTCTCTCAGCACTACTGGCAGGGATCTCCGAAATCCACAGGAAGAATTACCCCCAAGTGGAGCAGACATTATCAGGAAAGGTCCTGCATGTGTCCTCTATGACCTGTTTCCAGCTTACGCCCCAGTACATTTTACTGGGAGTGGCAGAGGCCTTTGTGACACCAGCATGTACGTATTCTCACTTCACTTTTTAAAATGCATACAATATCCATGATGTTAAAGTGCCCATTAAACAGCCGCAATCCAGTTGTTTTTGCATAAAAGCATTTTACAATATATATTCATTTTCAACACATCATTGATTCAATCCTAAGAATCAGCCATGAACGTCATAAAAAATTCACAAAATCCACCCGCCTCTTTTGTTCCTCTGCTCAGGCTCTCTCATATCCTTCTGTCTGACTCCCAGCAACCTTAGAGGTGTCTCCTTGCATTTCCTAACCCTCTCATACGGAGGTGGCTGCTTTCTAGGGGCTTTCCTCGTTCACTTCCTTTATTTTGTGTCAGGAGGTAAAGATACTTCACTCTTGAAAGTGTTGAACTTGTTATTGTGGTGCAATGTCAAGTCTCAGAAGATGAGCTCAATATTGTGTTTATGATTACAGGAAACTTCTATCCTAATAACCTCAGCAGTGGCAACATGGAGAGGTTTTTCTTTACGCTGGCCACATTAATGGCTATAAACACACTGGTGTTTTGGAGAATATCACAAAGGTAAGGTTCAAGCTTTGAATATGAAATAAGAATGAATATTTTGAGCGTTCAAAGGATTGACAGATGATCTTTCTAATGTTTTGGCAGGTACACAGATCTGAGCGTGGAGCTGAGTAGCGGGGCAGGACACAGTCACCTGTACGAGAAACTCCTGCAGTACAAGACCTGTCTGCGTTTTTATGACACGTTGGATCGTTCGGACACCTTGACGTCCATGGAAACTGTCTTGTAAATTAATTGTACATATTAACCCTGTAATGCTGGCATTACACAAAAGACTCTGAACTGACTGATTTTCATCAATTTAAATGTATTCAAAAAATAAAGTTATTTTATTATATATATATATATATATATGAGTTACTATGCTTTAATGACTCCAAAGCATATTATGAATAGGCCTATGTTTATAAATTGTCATAAGATGTTGCTGATGTGATAAACGTTAAAACTGCGTTTCTGCAACGTTGTGAATAAAAAACGTATAATGTGAAAAACCTAACATCTGTAGTCTTAAATACGTCGGATAAAAACATTATCATGACCATTTATGATACGAAAAAAAAACTTTTTTACAACAGTTGTTTGCTGGGTTGATGCTTTTTTTTTCTTGAACGAAGTTTATCGTTGTTATATGAAAGCTCATTTTGTGACTTTAATCTCGCAATTCTGAGTTTGTTTTTTATTTTTATATATTGTTTGCAATTCTGACTTTTTCCTCAGAATTGCAAGGGAAAAAGACAGGAAAATTGTGAGATATAAATTACGATTATATAAATGAATCGAGCGTAATCTCAGAATTACGAGATATAAACACGCAATTTTTACTTTTTAATATTTTATTCCGTGACGGAAATAAGCTTCCATAATTTTATACATAAATTGCAAAATAGATCATATTTGCTACTTATTTATACAGAATGTAACATTCAAAACCAGATCATTTACCTTACTCATCATACTCTCCAAAAAACGGGTTAATCTGAGTAATGTGAGTGAGAGAGAAAACACACCCCGGTCACAGCTGGACAGTCGCCACCGCACGAGATCCGCCTTCGTTGCTACGGACTCGCGTCTGTTCCTGTCAACATGGATCTGCCTGACCCTCTACGGCGACGGCTTGGAGATTTCTCCAGAACCGTGTTTGTGGACCAAAGCCGAACACAACCCTCTGCCGAGGAGCTGGCTGATTTTCTAAGCCAGAGTAAGTGTATTTGAGCTGTCGAAACATTGACTTTGCTGTGAGCTGCTAGTTGCTAGCTGCTGGGCTAATTCATCTGGTTAGCCGAGTTTGTGTGTCACATCACATTTTGCTTACCTGATTTGCAGATATAATAATGCTTTATAGCACTTTCAAACGATGTTTGTTATTGCCTGTGTCCCAGACTTATTGAGCTGCCTAACGTTACCTAAACAGCGAATCAATTCGTTGTTTTGGGTCGGATCTTTTAATGAATCTATTGAACGTTCTCTAAACCGATCTGAACGATTCATTCAGGAATCGTCCGAATCAATCGGTTCTCTAGTCAAAAACTCACAAGTGTCTCAAACTGAAAACCTAAAAAAACAGAAAAAAGAAAAGGTTAATGTAATAGCTTAATGTTACAATTCAAATATTTCTCTCAATTTATGTTTTACGTTTTATGAATACATACAAAGCATGTGTAAGTAAAGTAGCAAAAAATAAAAACCAGGCAAAAGATGTACAGTAAACGACAGAGACGCATTGAAGACATAAAACTGTTCGAAAGAACCGATTCGCAAAAATTAGTCGAACTTCCCATCATAGGCAAGTTCCGAGTCAGCTGACTTGGATGTCGTCTATGATGCCCCAAATTACTTAACGCGCTTAAAATACAAAGAAATACTGTCGTGGTTAGCAGCTCGCTGGGTTGTATAGTACTGTAATTTTCTTTATTCGCCAGATAAGGATGTAGTATCGAGTCTCCCTCTTCAGATGTCACTTTACTTTAACATGTGGTTCTTTCCTTTCTGGTGGATCAGTGAGGTTGTGATGCTACAGCTAAAGGTGATTCTCCTCTACCTAATATTTTTTAACAATTCAGTCTGGAATCACTTACTGACTATTGCCGTTTAATCACATTAATGTTCTGAGATATTACTAATAATAATAATCATGCTTTTTCATCTAGTACCCAGCCCTGGCAGATTATTACAAGTTCATCCTGATCACAATTCTTATTTTAATGACCCTGATTGAGGCCATGAGACTCTACCTGGGCAATGTTGGAAATCTGCAAGAAAAGGTAAACCTAAGTTTATAATATAAGATAATAGTTCCCCTAAGCATCTCTTATTTTTAAATAGGTTCCAGAATTGGCTGGATTTTGGCTCCTGACTCTCCTACTCCAGTTTCCCCTGATTCTGTTCCAGCTCTTCAATGAGGCTGTTCTCATTCAACCTCTGGAGAGAGGAGTTCATATAATACTGGCCTTGTTTATTTTTGCAGAGGTATGAATCTATATATAGTCTCTCTCTCTCTCTCTATATATATACACACACACACACACACACACACACACACACAGGTGTGAAAAAGGGTTGGCCCCCTTCCTGTTTTTTTTATTTTTTGCACATGTCACACTTAAAAGATTCAGATCAAACTAATTTTAATATTACACAAAGATAATGCAAGTAAATACAAAATGCAGTTTTTAAATGATAATTTATTTTATTAAGGGAAAAAAGCTGTCCAAACCTGCCTGGCCCTATGTGAAAAAGTAATTGCCCCCTAAATCTAATAATGGTTGTGCCACGCTTTGCAGCAACAACTGCAATCAAGTGTTTGCGATAACTGGCAATGAGTCTTTCACATCGCTGTGGAGGAATTTTGGCCCACTCTTCTTTGCAGAATTGTTTTAATTCAGCCACATTGGAGGGTTTTCGAGCATGAATGGACTGTTTAAGCATCTCAATCAGATTTAAGTCTGGACTTTGACTTGGCCACTCCAAAACCTTAATTTAGTTTTTCTTGAGCCATTCAGAGGTGGACTTGCTGGTGTGTTTGGGATCATTGTCCTGCTACATAAGTGCGCTTGAGCTTGAGGTCACAAACTGATGGCCGGACATGTTCCTTCAGGATTTTCTGATAGAGTGCAGAATTAATGCTTCCGTCAATTATGGCAAGTCGTCCAGGTCCTGAAGCTGCAAAGCAGCCCCAGATCATCACACTACCACCACCATGTTTGACTGTTGGTATGATGTTCTTTTTATGAAATGCGGTGTTGGTTTTACGCCAGATGTAACAGGACACTCACCTTCCAAAAAGTTCAACTTTTGTCTCCTCAGTCCACAGAATGTTTGCCCAAAAGTCTTGGGGATAATCAAGATATTTTTTGGCAAATGAGAGACTAGCCTTTGTGTTTTTTTTAGTCAGCAGTGGCTTTTGCCTTGGAACTCTCCCATGGATGCTGTTTTTGCCCAGTCTCTTTCTTATTGTTGAATCATGAACACTGACCTTAATTGAGGCAAGTGAGGCCTGCAGTTCTTTAGATGTTGTTCTGGGTTCTTTTATGACGTCTTGGATGAGTCGTCATTGTGCTCTTGGAGTAATTTTGGTTGGCCGGCAACTCCTGGCATCAAAATTTGTTTGATGATCTGAAACATTAAAGTGTGACAAACATGCAAGAAAATAAGAAATCAGTTTTTCACACCACTGTATGTATATATATATATTTCTGTATCAATATGAGATTATAATGCTTTATAATTCTAATATGTTTCAGAGGAATTTTGTTTTTAAATACTGAAAGATTGAATATTGTGTGGGGTTTCTTTACAGGCTCTTTTTGGCTTTGTTGCCTTGCGTGCAATGGTCCGACACACTGAAAGTCGCTTCCATTTGCGACAATTTGATGGGATTCAGAATTTAAGAACGTGACAAGAGACCTGCACTGCACTGATGGACTATAAAAAAACACTACAAAGATTTATTTGTAAAATACAAAGACTTCCATTATCAGTGGCGAACATTAGAGAACACATCAGTCATTGTGTTGAATTGTTACTGTGGATGTCTTGGTGCCTTATTTTCTACAAACAAATCTTGCCTTGTATTATATTTTGTATGTGAAATAAAAAAAATTGTTACAGACTTACAAAGACTAAACATACTAAATATTATTTATTAATTCTGAATGTAACAACATTTCAAAATTAGATAAATCAAATTCATTCAAAATCAGTTCCACACATTATGTAATTAAAAAATCACTTCTAAAAACAAAATATAACACTCATGGCAATTTCAATAAAAAATTACATCTCTTCAATATACAGGAAGCTAATATTAAAATAACTTTAGTGTACTACATAAAAAAGAAAAAAAAACAGTCTTTATTTTCCAGTATTTATGTATCTTTCACTAAATGTATAGAAAATGACAGTTGTTAAGGATAGCACACCTGAAATAGTGAATTACATACAACTGCATATTCAGGCACTTGGCTTCACAAGAAAGCCTGCTCAACATGTCTTCATCTTCACATGCTTTTGTCTGGCTTGACTGGCTTTTCCTGAGACTGCAGCGTGTGAGATGTTTGAGGCAAAACATTAGTGGACTCATCCTCCACTTGCATGGACTCTTGAGTCAACCGCAGATGGAACCTTGTCAAGGAAATCAGCAGCTAAATTAACTTGCTACGATTGAGCAAAATGTGTAAATGTTCTTTCAGCGACATACTTCTCCTCACTGCTCAGGCTGTCTGTAGAAGCAGCATTTCTCCTGAAAACCTGAGTTTTGCTTCTTTTGGGCAGCCTCCCTATCCTCAGACTTCAGATCGCAGCCTGGTTTCCGAACAGCTGTGCGTGGCTAAGGAGGAACACACATTGACAGCAGTAAGAACAGATGATGACATTCTGCCCTGTATGTGACAAGTGCTAAGAAAACTGTCAGTAAAATAAACCTGTGTAGGTTATAATGTAATATAATATAATCTAAAATAAAAACAAACTGAAGCATTTAAACTGAGATCTGAAAGCTAAACATGTGAATTCTTATATAGTTATCTAAGTAGAGTTTAGAGTAGTAGAGTTTGCACACTACTACACCTGTGTGACTGTGAATGTCTCGGAGTTTTGTTACCGTTCTGTGCCCATTATCCGCTATTTCCACCACTTAATCAAGCTACTCTTCTTTAAAACATGATAACGTTTTATTTCACATGTCACTGCGTTTGTGTTGGCTATCGTTGAGCTATTTCATCTGCAGCAATTAAAGTATTCGATTTCTACAACAACTCATTCAGCGCACATCATTCTTTC